ATATTAAACTAAACTTAAGTCAGTGGCTGGAGAATGAAATAGCTTGACAGCATTTACAATTTTACTAAAATAAATTTAAACAATAATATTTTGTGTTAACTATTTTAAGTTTATTTATTAATATTTTATTAATATATAACACTACAGTATATAGATTCAGTTAACAAACGACTCCGTGGAACCAATTGTGTTGGTTAATTGAGGGACCACAGAAGATATTTTAGCGACCCTCCCTGGTGACAACCTTAACCTAACGTGGGTCAACACTCCACTATCCACCTATATGAATCTTTATTAATGTGGAACAAGTCCACTATAAGAACAATTCACTGGACAATACTCACGGCAGTAGGCATAACCTGTAATATTTGATCACTAACTTGAACTATCATCATTACTGTTGTGGAATGTTCCTAAAAGTACAATAATTATTTACCTATTATACAGTACAGCATTAATTTATGCCAAGATTGATGCCAAAAAACTATATTTAACCATAACTTAACCCAAATAAAATACCCCATTTGTTTGTAATGTTTCCTGGCTTTTCCATGCATTCGACACCCCAATAGTCTATATTTAAAAAACGCATATGTAGGCCTTTTAAAAAATAACTAATTTGTGAACCCAGGTGTAAAATCAGGTAAAGCAGTACCCTGTACCTTTGTAGAATATTTAAACTATTTGTTTACCCCAAGTGCTGAAGACAAAGGTATTAGGTCAGGCATATTTGACAAATATTTTGACAATGTGAAACTAACTTCATACAGTAAAGATGGTCAGCATATTTAAGACCATCCATAAAGGCCTTTTAAAACTTACGGGCACAGCGTAATCTACATAAATATCTAATTATTTCAAAGGTCATTAACACAATCACTTGAATTTTTAAACGGTGATCCCAGACCCTTAATAAAAACTAAAACCACAAAGATATACACTGTACTGTACCTTATGTTATAGCAGAAAGTTTTCAATGTGGTGCAGCAAGAGACCCGTTAACCAAAACAAACCTTCGTCTTGTGGCCCATATCTCACATCTTCACGTCACCGTCCTGGAATGAATAACATTTTAACAACTAATAAATTAAATACTCTGGGCAGTAATATTATATAATATGTATACAGTACTGTACAGTATTATTTTATACAGGAACTCATTAAATCTTTAAACATTTAAATTCAATATTATGGTTAAATTAAGAAATTTCCATAAAACTTATTAAAGAAAATAAAGAAACACTTTAGAAAATCTTACCTCGACGAATGACACGAGGAACTTCATTAACCATGATCAGCGAGGCAGCAATATGGTAGTTGTCTGAACACTATAGTAACAAGCAATTGGAGCCGTAAACTGTAAACAAAATAACCCTGTTACTCTTTTTGTAGAAACTCAAATAATTTTTTGTTCCAACATGTTGGAGACAAAACCACCTTGTAAGGGATTGCCAACACGGTTTTATGTCGGGGCGCTCCTGCTTAACACAATTGCTCAAGGTATTGGATATTTAGACCCATATTCTGGAACAGGGTGATAATATCGACAATATTTACCTAGATTTTGCCAAGGCTTTCGACAGTGTACCCCAAGAGAGGCTGAAAATCAAACTGGAAGGGTACAGAATTCGGGGAAATGTCCTAGCATGGATAGAAGACTTATACAGTGTGTAGCTACCATCCACACTGCCAAGTTGGGTACCACACAGGGAGTATTGGGGTCTGTGTTGTTTTGTTTGTTTCATAAAGATATATTCCACAAATGTCATATAAGTTTGCCGAAATCAACCAAGTGGACTGTGAAGAGCTGCAGAAGGACCACAAGTTAACTCTGGTCAACAACTTTCTTAATACCACTTACTAGTCACTAATGAATAACACCTGGTAAATTCACACGTTATATCCCACTACCATAAGGGTTTAATTATCTATAAACGCCGACATTGTGAAGCGTCTTGTGATTTTTCCTTTCCCAGAGAATTTAAATACCACCGAAGACATGATTTGGTTAGGTTAGGTTTGAAAGCCACCAAATTGTTATTTTCCCCGAGAATTAAAACCTCACCATCGGACACATGATTTGGTTAGGTTAGGATCCCACCAAATACAGTGACAAAAATGTAAATTTCCTGTCAAAAAATAAACTGTAAATTTACAGTAAAGTTCCCAAAATGTCTCAAAAGCTAATTTTTTACTACAAACTGTAATTTAACCATAAATAAAGAGTACCACATTCTTATAACCAAATTTTTTACTTCAATTAAATAAAAAAATCTTTCCCAAAATAAAAATGACCGAAAATCCCACCTTGGTTAATATATAGGACTAACCCGTCATAGTGCCGATGCTGCTGTATCATCTCACGTCCAGAAAATTTCTCAAATATCACCGTATAGTAAGTTTTTTCTGTTTAATATACCGGGGAAGTTAGGTTAGGTAGGTTAGGTTAGGTTAGGTCTGTCCTTCATAACCACAAATATTAAGTAGCATTTATTTAAAGAACATCCATTTTACTAACATTACCACAAACAGTGTCCACTATAATTTAACAAAAGTAACTTGACAAAATTATCATAAAATTATCCTAAAAGTAATAAACTACAGAAAAGTAACAATTCCCAAATGTAAAGTGACGTAAACTCCACAAGTAACAAAACTTATCAAACGAAAAAGTAACAAATACTCAACAGGAAAGAAATAAAATACCTCAAACAATCAAACTATCCATCGTTAATTAATACCTACACCACACACCTGCACCATAAACACACTATATACCTGCACCACAAACACACTATATACCTGCACCATATACCTACACCACACACCTGCACCACACACTATATACCTGCACCATATACCTACACCACACCTGCACCACAAACACACTATATACCTGCACCATTCCTAGTTGGTCCCAGTTGGCGATGGGCCTAGTTGGAGTTCAACTTGTGTGACCGACAACCACAGAGATAGCTGGATAGCTTCAAACATAGGTCGGATGTTTATATGAGCAATAGGGGCTGGGTGTAAATGGGACTGCCCAGTATGGGCCAATAGGCCCGCTGTAGTTTCCTTCATTCTTATGTTCTACTGTGCAGTGTCTAGTTAACACGGCCATACATAATGTTAACTTACCACGAGGGAGGGAGGAAGGCCCACAAATTAACATTTACTAACAGAATTAACAAAAATAAACAAGACGACCACGTTGGTTGATGTTGTTGATCTGCTACGCCTTGTCCGATTCTCTCTCTTATCTTTCAGTAACTAAAAGTTTTCATTATTAATGCTATAATGAAATTATTTTACTTATAAATACTACGTAATATAAATAAATTATTCTTGAATTATAATGTTTTATTATTGATTAAATTCCCGCTAATAGATATATATTAATATTAAGCTAAACTTAAGTCAGTGGCTGGAGAACCGAATAGCTTGACAGCATTTACAATTTTACTAAAATAAATTTAAACAATAACATTTTGTGTTTAACTATTTTGTTTATTGATTAATATTTTATTAATATATAACACTACAGTATATAGATTCAGTTCACGAACGTCTCCGTGGTATCCAATTGTGTTTGTTAATTGAGGGACCGCTGAAGATATTTTAGCGACCTTCCCTGGTGACAACCTTAACCTAACGTGGGTCAACACTCCACTATCCACCTATATGAACCTTTATTAATGTGGAACAAGTCCATTATAAGAACAATTCACTGGACAATACTCACGGCAGTAGGTATAACCTGTAATATTTGATCACTAACTTGAACTATCATCATTATTGTTGTGGAATGTTCCTAAAAGTACAATAATTATTTACCTATTATACAGTACAGTGTAGTGGACGTCTCCCCTACAAACTGCGTATCGCATTCCAATGTGCCGCCTTCCCTAGCAACCAACCAGATGTTACCGTATCTTAGCAACGGAACTAGTCACCGGCGACTTTCTGGGTTTTCCCAACATGACTCCACAGGCTGCCAAGGTATATAAGCTCTGTTCCTCCATTGAGATTCATTCTGGACCATTCTTCTGAACAAGCAACACCTCCTCCTCCGCCGCTGCCTGGCAGCTCCCTCGCATCTCCTCGCTCTGGTGGTTTCGCCCTGCCAGAAGCGAGCATGGAGACCTGGCACTAGCCAACTTTTCCCAGTTTCTCACCAACCAACTCTCTATTCTGCCCATCTTCCTGAACATAACATCTCCTCCAGCAAGCTCCACAACAGCACATTCATTCAACCAGGAGGCCAGCAACAGGCAACATCTTCTCTAACGAAGCTCCTGCACATCTACCTCCTTCAACACGCTACTCACCGAACGTCTTCTACTGAGCAGCCCCTCACCAGACGGCACCTCCAGCACCAGACTGTCTATCATATAACTTATATATTATACAAGAAAACCACATTAGAGTTTCCTTCCATCCTGAGTGCTAGACAACATTAATATCTCGATACCCCTACAACAGCATTAATTTATGCCAAGATTGATGCCAAAAAACCATATTTAAGTATAACTTAACCCAAATAAAATACCCCATTTGTTTGTAAAGTTTCCTGGCTTTTCCATGCAGTCGACACCCCAATAGTCTATATTATTTATAAAACGTATATGAAGACCTTTTAAAAAATACGGGCAAAGCCTAAGTAATCTACTTTAAATATCTAATTGTTTAAAAAGTCATTAACATAATAACTAATTTGTGTACCCAGATTTAAAATCAGGTAAAGCAGTACCCTGTACCTTTGTAGGATATTTAAACTATTTTTTTACCTCAAGTGCCGAAGAGAAAGGTATTAGGTCAGGCATATTTGACAAATATTTTGACAACGTGAAAACTAACTTCATATAGTAAAGATGGTCAACATATTTAAGACCATCCATAAAGGCCTTTTAAAACTTACGGGCACAGCGAAATCTACTTAAAATATCTCATTATTTCAAAGGTCATCAACACAATTACAGTGTGGGGTTATGAGATATTCGTTCACACTTAGGATGGGATGCAGAAAGGAAACTCACAATGTTCTCACTGTATACATATTGTATTGGATGTACAATGCAGCTTGTTGCTGGGTAGGTAGCATGGTAATAAGCGTTGAGTAGAGAGAGCTGGGTGGTGAGGGTGCCCGGAGTGAGGGCACGCGGGTTGAGGGACGCCTAGGTCGCCGGCGGGAGCGGGAGCCGCCAGGCTGGCGCGGAGGTGTTGCTTGCTGGTGGCACTGGGTAGAAAAGAGGGTGGTCACAGCGGTGTCAGGCCTTATAAGGCGTGGGTAGGCGTGGGTAGATAGTTGACCCCCGCTCCGTGGGCGGCGCTGGAGGCGTAGACTGGGGAATTCGAGAAGGTTCGGTGCTTGTAGGGGAGAAATCCACTACAACATAAGAACATAAGAAGAAGAAGAACATAAGAAAATAAGGAGTCTGCAATAGGCCGGTTGGCCTGTGCATGGCAGCTCCTGTCGAGAGTTACTACCACTCTCTATCATCCATGAATCTATCTAGCCTCCTTTTGAAACTTTCCAGAGTTCCCGCACTTACTACAAAGTTGCTAAGCTTGTTCCACTCGTCCACCACCCTATTTGTGAACCAGTTTCTTCCTATCTCCTCCTAAACCTAAACTTATCCAGCTTGAATCCGTTGCTCCGAGTTCTATCCTGCTCGGATATTATAAGAACTTTATCTA